TCAGTAGCAAGACCAACATTATGCCATTCTTTGTGATTGACACAACGACTTCCTATAATGCTCTCTTGGGTTGGGACTAGATCCATTTGAGATAGTGCATTCCATCAACTCTCCATCAACAACTGGTGCTACGATGTCTAGGAGTTTTGAAGTGGTAGAAATAGTCTAAACAATGTTTATGGTGGATGTTCATATGCCAATGCTTGGATTTATGAAGAAGGAATAGGGCCGATAAACTTTCAAGGCTATGATAAATTTAGAATGCCAAGAAAATTCATGTTTAAGACTGACTTGAGGTATAATGAGATATGTCAGATGGAGGAAGAGGTTCTTTAACCCACTATTATGTAAAGGCTGAACCACACGAGAGAACCTGAAATCTCGATTGATTATGGAGAACGACAACAGTAAGCAACGAAGGCAAGCCATAAGGGCCTAGGTCACCAGAGTAAGACCTTATTTGGCAGAAAAAAAGGTTGTTGCACTACACGCGACCATCAGTTAACAAAACATCATTATCATGGTGGAATGTAAGGAGGAAGAATCTAAATAGATTACCTCACGAGAGTTCGAATTAGATGAAATCGATACAACCCTCATTAAGCTTGATGACATTGTGGAAGTTCAAGCCCCTTGCTCGAAGTCAACCTTGGTGGCCCAAGGGAGCATCGACTAACTTTGTCAGCAAGCTGCTAGAGCTGAATTTCCAAGCATGGCTTATGTAGCCGTTGAGAGAATATCATGTCTATTTCACTTGGAGTTATAAGGAAATGTCAGGGCTAGATCCAGTATTGGTGGAACATTGAATGCCTATAAGGGAAGGATACATGTTGATTAAGTAGGCCTCAAGGTTGATGTTCTACGAAGTAAATTTGTTGGTGAAGAAGGAGATTGAACGCCTCTTGAAGGCAAAGTGCATCAAGGTGGCACCGTGCACATAATGAGTATCCAACGTCGTGCCAGTCAAGAAGAAGATTGGCAAAATCAAAGTTTGTTGCTACTATCACGAACTTAACATGGCGACTCCCAAGAATGAGTATGTTATGTCGTTGGCAGACTAGCTTGTAGACGTGATCGCCATGAATGCGATCATGTCACTTATGGACATCAACGCAGGCTACCATCAGATCTTCATTGTGGAGGAGGATCAGCACAAAATTGTTTTTCGTTGTCTTGGGTCAATTTGAACCTTTGAATGGAGAGTGATATTGTTCGGACCAAAGAACTCTGGAGTCATATATCAGAGAGTCATGAACACCATTTTCCATGACATGATTAGTAAGATCGTAGAGGTGTACGTTGATGACATCATAGTTAAGACACAAGATATGGAAAAACATCTTAGCGATCTAAAATAAGTCTTGAAAGGATATGTGTCAATTAGCTAAAGATGAACCCGTTGAAGTGCCCCTTTGGGGTTACAATAGGGAACGTTCTTAGATTCCTAGTGCACAAAAAGGAGATTAAGGTAGACAAGAACAAGGAGAAGGCCATCAAGGAGGCTACGCCTCCAAAGACAAAGAAGGAGCTCCAGCGCTTGATTAGTCAAGTCAATTTCCTTCGATGATTCATCACTAATTGTGTAGGAAAAGTGCAGGCATTCTCGCTGCTCTTAAAGTTAAAGGTTGTAGAGGAATTTAGATGGGAAACACATCATCAAGAGGCCTTCTGTCAGAAGCAGAGCATCCAGGTTCACCATAATTCAAGGAAAACTTCACAAAAGAAGGGTTTTTTGTGCCTCTCATAAGGTGTATCTTAGACGAGGAGGTTGCTTATGTGCTCAATAAAATCCATGAAGGCATATGCGTGAACCACATTGGGGCTCGCACACTGGCGTACAAAGTTTTGAGGCAAGGTTCATTGGCCTACCACAATGAAGGATTCCAAGAATTTTGTAAAGAAATGCAACACATACCAGTTGCATGCAGACATTCCCTATTGTCCACCTGAATAGCTCACACTAATATTGAGTCCATGACCTTTCCAACAGTGAGGAATATATATTGTGGGACCTTTTCACTTAGGGGTGGGTCAACAAAAGTTTGCATTGGTAGCAACTGACTATTTCACTAAATAGACAAAAGTGGAACCTCTAGCCACCATAATTGAAAGGAAGATCGAGAGTTTTGAATGGAAATCCATCATATGCAGATTTGGGATCCCCAAAGCAATCGCGTCTGACAATGATAAGCAATTTGACAACTTGACCTTCAAAAATTTATGTTTCAAGCCAGGAGTTATGTTACTTAGACTTGGTTTTTGATATTGTCTAAATGTATAAATATTAACTACATTATCATCTAATAAAACTAAAATCAGTTTTTGTTGTTGAAGGAAGAAGCTACAACTTTGAAATTGACACAGCCTGATATATTTTTTGTTAGGCTTTTTGTTTTTGTCTTTTGCTTTTCTGATGACCCATTTGTCGTGTTTTGTTACGTATGCTTCTACATATGCTTCCTCTTAGAAATTGTTAATGAACTGATTGTATATAAAGCAATTTTTTCTTGTATAACAAATAAGAAAGTCCTTTACTTAACCTTCCATTATTGGTGGTTGTGGGATTAGTGGTTGTTGTGGTGGTGAGGTGGCGGCAGTGGTGGTAGTGGTGATGATGGTGGGGCGGTGGTGGTGGTGAAGTGGTTCTAAACACTAATTTTTTTTTAAAGTACTTATGAGAAATTATAAATCTTATAAGTACTTTTAAAAAGTCATTTCAAATATATATTTAGGGACTTATTTTTCCTATTAAATTTGAGATGATAATATTAGCCGTCGGATTAACTTTAAAATAAAATTTAAAGATATTTCAATCGCGAAAAGTAAAAATTATTTTATTTATTTTCTGAAATTTGAATTGTATTATACTTATTTATACTTATTTTTTATTATATTATTGATTGAACCAGTCCAGTGCCCATGGGTCCGGTTCCTTCGGATTGAACTTTGGCCTGGGTTTTAAAACTAATGCTTGCAACTGAGTCAGACTGGTCATCTTTGCTCGTGCAAGCGACTTCGATTCACGCACCTTTATACTGCGGTCCCTCTCTCATACAGACATAACGGGTTGGAGAACTACGCCACCATTTCTCTACTGTCAGACAAAGCGTTGGTGCAATCTGTCTACCTCTTTTCTCTCCCTCTCAGGTACAATCCTATCCCTTACCCAATCCTCTGTATATAATTTCTTCTGCAATACTGGAAACATCTCTCTCTTTCCCCCTCTCTGCATGGATATACGTACACACTTCATGTTTTGATTCAGTTAGCTTTGGAACCCTAGATTCATTCATGATTTACAGTCTAATGCTTAATTTTAATTATAAGTGTCCGGAGATCTAGGTTTAGAGACCTAAATGTAAGCAGCACAATTCCGAATCCTATACACTCCTCTTGGTAACTACGTATTGTAACAAATATTACGTGTCTATATGCACATTATTGTAAGTGAATAGGCATCGATTTTGGAGTTTAATTATAGCTTATTTGAGGTGAATTTTTGTTTTTATTTGGTGTTGTTAAGAAGTTCAATTATGCTCACATGAACTATACTATGATTACTATCCATTCAAAGCTGTACAGTTATTGTAGAACATTCATTTGATTTTTGTTTATGATTGTAATTCCGTTTGGGATCAGGAGCATTTTGCTGGTTTCGGACTTTATAGAAGTCATCAAGAGATAATGTTTGGTTGCACCAACCGTAAGTATTTTCTTTATCTTTGGTGTTGGTCTTTTTGTTTTTGTAGTAATGTATTTGGTGTTTGTTTGAGATTTTTGTTTCCCTGTTTTAGCGAAACATAGTCCTGGATGTTTGCCTTACACACTGTTTTATTTGCAAATAGATGAATATTGATTACTATCTTATCGAAAAAAAATATATTGGTTACTGGTTGTTCAACAATGTTTTGTTTTTCCTTCTTTTGTTGCTTGGTTTTTTTTTTTTTGCCTTTTGTTCCTTTTCTGTTTATCTTAGAAAAGGAATTTTTGGCCAGTTAACGATAGTTGCTAGTTTTCTCAGGACCTTGAGTTGTTTGGGCAAGTTGGCATTTATGCCTCTTGCTTTGTGCATGAGTTAGATAAGTGATTTTAGTTCCTACACAAAGAATTGGGAAACTGTAAAGTTTGCAGTTACTTCTGGCTTCTTTCCCTTTAAGTCTTTCGATCATGCTGATGTTTTGTCTTAATTGTTTACACGTATAGAATCTTTTTGACTAACTCCAGCTACAGAAACTGGAAAGCGAGTTTGCATTGTAATGCTTGTTTTCTCAGAGACTTGCCTTGTAACGATTGTTTCTAATCATTTCATTGGGCCTCTCGTTTGTTTGCATGAAATATATGATAGGAGCTTTTGGTAGAATGTACTGCTATCAGTATTACTCATTCATTTATATATGAATGTTTAGTATATATTGACTGGGCTCTTGTTAGTCTTTGGCATTTGTTGTTTCCTTACGTTTTCTATGTACTGTTACTTGGAGTTCACCAGTGAATAGTTACTATTGGTCTGTTCACCTGACCTTTTTTTGGGTACTGATTAGTGTTGAACTGTTTACAGTCTTTGGGCAGTCATCTAGTAGCCCGTTTGGGCAGTCATCTAGTAGCCCGTTTGGACAGTCACCTAGCAGCAGCCCTTTTGGGTCCCAATCAGTTTTTGGGCAGATTAAAAATGCAAGTGGCAATCCATTTGCTCCTAAACCCTTCGGCAGTACATCCCATTTTGGTGGCATTTCTACTGGCGTGTTTGGTGCAACCCAATCTTCTTCGCCTTTATCATCGACACCAGTGTTTGGTGCTTCGTCTACCCCAGCTTTTGGAAGTTCAACGCCTGCTTTTGGAGCAACATCAACTCCTGCCTTTGGTAGTTCGTCATCATCATTTGGTGGTAAGTGTATTTATGGAGTGTTTGACCACTATTTGCCCATTCCTCTTTTTTATGTGGTACAATTATGTGTAATATGCTGTCTATAGATGTTTTGGGCATGCTTAAGTATTCTAGTATCCTTTAGGGTTTAATATGAATCTATAAGGAGAAAACTGGAGTTGCGGATGTTTTTATTAAGTGTTTTGGTCTCTTAAACACTAGTCGGATTGTGAAGTGCTTCTTTTGTGAAATATCTACTCCATGTGCTATCAATGGGTCCTCACAATTTCCATGTTGGATATAAAAATTCAGAAATAAAGGCCTACATTTTCTTTTGCATGGTCATCTTCGTTTAATTTTCTTTTATGACACACTGTGTTCTTTCTTCTTTTTCTTTCCATCCATACACTTTGTTTGGTTCAAAAAAATGATATCAGCATATGCACTATGAATCTCCTTTGATCAAATGCTTGGAAGCTTCATTTCGTATGTCTTTCATCTATTCTCTTTGGATTTGCTCTTTTAAATGCAACATTAGAGGCAGAAGAGCGGCAACCTTTTAGGATAAAGTGTTATAAACAAAAGCCACAAACAAATAATAAACGGAGCAAAATAGGAAAAACAAAACACACAAATTTACTTGTTTCATTCAAAACACAAGCCTACATACACGGCGAAGCACGGCGACAAAATTTCACTATTAACAAAAGGGAGAATACACAAAGTTCTCTAACCAAGAATGCCCAAAACTGGGGCCAAAATCCATAAGAGAAACTAAGTGGTCTATAAATACATTTTATAAACCTAAAACACCTTGTTTCCTAATAAATAGAGTTTCTAATTGGTCTTTTTCTTGAAGTGGAATTTCTTGGAATTCCACCATTCAAAATCCCTTGGGAGAACAAATTTCAAGCCAGTTGGAGTGGAATACAAGACACCCATGACATAAAGTTGACGGTGGATTACATCTTCCCAAAGGTAGCTGGTGGTACCATTGATGCCACAAACACCCCAGCCTTTGGTTCTACTGCAACCCCAGCATTTGGTGCAATCAGCATTACATTTTCTGTATCTAGTTCCCCAGTATTTGGATCAAGCACTCCAGCATTTGGTGCCTCTAGTACTTCTGTATTTGGATCATCAAGCACTCCAGAATTTGGTGCCTCAAGCACTCCGGCATTTGGTGCCTCAACTATTTCAGCTTTTGGTGGTTTGAGTACTCCTTCATTTAGTTTTGGGTCCACTCCAGCATTTGGCCAATCGACTTCTGCATTTGGAAGCAGTCCTTTTGGTGCACCTAGTCAACCTACTTTTGGTGCTTCAAGTACTCTGGCCTTTGGTTCATCAAGCTCGTCAGCCTTTGGTGGCTCAAGTGCACCTGCCTTTGGTGCCACAAACACCTCAGCCTTTGGTTCTCCTGCAACCCCAGCATTTGGTGCAACCAGCACTACATTTTCTGTATCTAGTTCCCCAGTATTTGGATCAAGCACTCTAGCATTTGGTGCATCTAGTACTTCTGTATTTGGATCATCAAGCACTCCAGCATTTGGTGCCTCAAGCACTCCGGCATTTGGTGCCTCAACTACTTCAGCTTTTGGTGGCACAAGCGCACCTGCCTTTGTTGCCACAAACACCCCAGCATTTGGTGCAACCAGCACTACATTTTCTGTATCTAGTTCCCCAGTATTTGGATCAAACACTCTAGCATTTGGTGCCTCTAGTACTTCTGTATTTGGATCATCAAGCACTCCAGAATTTGGTGCCTCAAGCACTCTGGCATTTGGTGCCTCAACTACTTCAGCTTTTGGTGGTTTGAGTACTCCTTCATTTAGTTTTGGGTCCACTCCTGCATTTGGCCAATCAACTTCTGCATTTGGAAGCAGTCCTTTTGGTGCACCTAGTCAACCTACTTTTGGTACTTCAAGTACTCCGGCCTTTGGTTCATCAAGCTCGTCAGTCTTTGGTGGCACAAGCACACCTGCCTTTGGTGCCACAAACACCCCAGCCTTTGGTTCCACTGCAACCCCAGCATTTGGTGCAACCAGCACTACATTTTCTGTATCTAGTTCCCCAGTATTTGGATCAAGCACTCCAACATTTGGTGCCTCTAGTACTTCTGTATTTGGATCATCAAGCACTCCAGCATTTGGTGCCTCAAGCACTCCGGCATTTGGTGCCTCAAGCACTCCGGCATTTGGTGGCACAAGTGCACCTGCCTTTGGTGCCACAAACACCCCAGCCTTTGGTTCTACTGCAACCCCAGCATTTGGTGCAACCAGCACTACATTTTCTGTATCTAGTTCCCCAGTATTTGGATCAAGCGCTCCAGCATTTGGTGCCTCTAGTACTTCTGTATTTGGATCATCAAGCACTCCGGCATTTGGTGCCTCAACTACTTCAGCTTTTGCTGGTTTGAGTACTCCTTCATTTAGTTTTGGGTCCACTCCTGCATTTGGCCAATCAACTTCTGCATTTGGAAGCAGTCCTTTTGGTGCACCTAGTCAACCTACTTTTGGTACTTCAAGTACTCCGGCATTTGGTTCATCAAGCTCGTCAGTCTTTGGTGGCACAAGCACACCTGCCTTTGGTGCCACAAACACCCCAGCCTTTGGTTCCACTGCAAACCCAGCATTTGGTGCAACCAGCACTACATTTTCTGTATCTAGTTCCCCAGTAGTTGGATCAAGCACTCCAACATTTGGTGCCTCTAGTACTTCTGTATTTGGATCATCAAGCACTCCGGCATTTGGTGCCTCAAGCACTCCGGCATTTGGTGCCTCAAGCACTCCGGCATTTGGTGCCTCAACTACTTCAGCTTTTGGTGGCACAAGCGCACCTGCCTTTGGTGCCACAAACACCCCAGCCTTTGGTTCTACTGCAACCCCTGCATTTGGTGCAACCAGCACTACATTTTCTGTATCTAGTTCCCCAGTATTTGGATCAAGCGCTCCAGCATTTGGTGCCTCTAGTACTTCTGTATTTGGATCATCAAGCACTCCGGCATTTGGTGCCTCAAGCACTCCGGCATTTGGTGCCTCAACTACTTCAGCTTTTGCTGGTTTGAGTACTCCTTCATTTAGTTTTGGGTCCACTCCTGCATTTGGCCAATCAACTTCTGCATTTGGAAGCAGTCCTTTTGGTGCACCTAGTCAACCTACTTTTGGTACTTCAAGTACTCCGGCCTTTGGTTCATCAAGCTCGTCAGTCTTTGGTGGCACAAGCACACCTGCCTTTGGTGCCACAAACACCCCAGCCTTTGGTTCCACTGCAACCCCAGCATTTGGTGCAACCAGCACTACATTTTCTGTATCTAGTTCCCCAGTATTTGGATCAAGCACTCCAACATTTGGTGCCTCTAGTACTTCTGTATTTGGATCATCAAGCACTCCAGCATTTGGTGCCTCAAGCACTCCGGCATTTGGTGCCTCAAGCACTCCGGCATTTGGTGGCACAAGTGCACCTGCCTTTGGTGCCACAAACACCCCAGCCTTTGGTTCTACTGCAACCCCAGCATTTGGTGCAACCAGCACTACATTTTCTGTATCTAGTTCCCCAGTATTTGGATCAAGCGCTCCAGCATTTGGTGCCTCTAGTACTTCTGTATTTGGATCATCAAGCACTCCGGCATTTGGTGCCTCAACTACTTCAGCTTTTGCTGGTTTGAGTACTCCTTCATTTAGTTTTGGGTCCACTCCTGCATTTGGCCAATCAACTTCTGCATTTGGAAGCAGTCCTTTTGGTGCACCTAGTCAACCTACTTTTGGTACTTCAAGTACTCCGGCATTTGGTTCATCAAGCTCGTCAGTCTTTGGTGGCACAAGCACACCTGCCTTTGGTGCCACAAACACCCCAGCCTTTGGTTCCACTGCAAACCCAGCATTTGGTGCAACCAGCACTACATTTTCTGTATCTAGTTCCCCAGTAGTTGGATCAAGCACTCCAACATTTGGTGCCTCTAGTACTTCTGTATTTGGATCATCAAGCACTCCGGCATTTGGTGCCTCAAGCACTCCGGCATTTGGTGCCTCAAGCACTCCGGCATTTGGTGCCTCAACTACTTCAGCTTTTGGTGGCACAAGCGCACCTGCCTTTGGTGCCACAAACACCCCAGCCTTTGGTTCTACTGCAACCCCTGCATTTGGTGCAACCAGCACTACATTTTCTGTATCTAGTTCCCCAGTATTTGGATCAAGCGCTCCAGCATTTGGTGCCTCTAGTACTTCTGTATTTGGATCATCAAGCACTCCGGCATTTGGTGCCTCAAGCACTCCGGCATTTGGTGCCTCAACTACTTCAGCTTTTGCTGGTTTGAGTACTCCTTCATTTAGTTTTGGGTCCACTCCTGCATTTGGCCAATCAACTTCTGCATTTGGAAGCAGTCCTTTTGGTGCACCTAGTCAACCTACTTTTGGTACTTCAAGTACTCCGGCCTTTGGTTCATCAAGCTCGTCAGTCTTTGGTGGCACAAGCACACCTGCCTTTGGTGCCACAAACACCCCAGCCTTTGGTTCCACTGCAACCCCAGCATTTGGTGCAACCAGCACTACATTTTCTGTATCTAGTTCCCCAGTATTTGGATCAAGCACTCCAACATTTGGTGCCTCTAGTACTTCTGTATTTGGATCATCAAGCACTCCAGCATTTGGTGCCTCAAGCACTCCGGCATTTGGTGCCTCAAGCACTCCGGCATTTGGTGGCACAAGTGCACCTGCCTTTGGTGCCACAAACACCCCAGCCTTTGGTTCTACTGCAACCCCAGCATTTGGTGCAACCAGCACTACATTTTCTGTATCTAGTTCCCCAGTATTTGGATCAAGCGCTCCAGCATTTGGTGCCTCTAGTACTTCTGTATTTGGATCATCAAGCACTCCGGCATTTGGTGCCTCAACTACTTCAGCTTTTGCTGGTTTGAGTACTCCTTCATTTAGTTTTGGGTCCACTCCTGCATTTGGCCAATCAACTTCTGCATTTGGAAGCAGTCCTTTTGGTGCACCTAGTCAACCGACTTTTGGTGCTTCAAGTACTCCGGTCTTTGGTTCATCGAGCTTGTCAGCCTTTGGTGGCACAAGCGCACCTGCCTTTGGTGACACAAACACTCCAGCCTTTGGTTCTACTGCAACCCTAGCATTTGGTGCAACCATCACTACATTTTCTATATCTAGTTCCCCAGTATTTGGATCAAGCACTCCAGCATTTGGTGCCTCTAGTACTTCTGTATTTGGATCATCAAGCACTCCAGCATTTGGTGCCTCAAGCACTCCGGCATTTGGTGCGTCAACTACTTCAGCTTTTGGTGGCACAAGCGTACCTGCCTTTGGTGCCACAAACACCCCAGCCTTTGGTTCTACTGCAACCCCAGCATTTGGTGCAACCAGCACTACATTTTCTGTATCTAGTTCCCCAGTATTTGGATCAAGCACTCCAGCATTTGGTGCCTCAAGCACTCCGGCATTTGGTGCCTCAACTACTTCAACTTTTGGTGGTTTGAGTACTCCTTCATTTAGTTTTGGGTCCACTTCAGCATTTGGCCAATCAACTTCTGCATTTGGAAGCAATCCATTTGGTACAACTAAATCGCCCTTTGGAGTTCAGAGTGCTCCATTTGGTGAGTGATTTATCAGTGTACTGAAGGTTTCAATTCTGCAAGTTAATAAACCATGAGGAATTTGGCCACCCAATTGGTCATTGTTTATTTCTACTGCTTTTACTGAATTTCTGCCCTTGTAAACTGTCTTGCAGGAGCCCAGGCTACAACACCAACATATGGGAGCTCTGGTTTTGGACAGTCAGCTTTTGGAGGCCACCGAGGGGGAAGTAGAGTGGCTCCCTACACGCCAACACTTGAGTTAGATAGTGGCACAGGTACACAGCCTGGTGGAAAGCTGGAGTCAATAGCAGCTATGCCTATTTATGAGGATAAAAGCCATGAAGAACTCAGATGGGAGGACTATCAATTGGGTGATAAAGGTGCTTTACTATTGTGTGTAGAAATCTCGGACTCATACACACCTCATTGCCTGCCATGTTAATTATAATATTTTTAATCTGATTTCAGGAGGGCCAAGTCCTGCTGGTCAGTCTGCTGATGCAATTGGATTTGGCGCTTCTAGCACATAGTCAAGTCCATTTGCTTCGTCGTCAACATTTGGTCAGATATCTGCAAATCCCTTTTCATCCTCAACATCTTCCAACCCTTTTGCTGTGACACCCCAAAATTCGGGTGTCTGTAATTATCTTGTTGATCACCCGTTAACCTGCGGAATATCCGTAGATATCGTGTGACTCAATACCTCGCCGTTATGTCCTATTTACCAGAATCTATAACTTAACAAAATTAGGGTAGAATTTCCTTTGTACGGGGAACTCTACTCAAAACACAACTAGTGCAATCATACAACATTGATCACACTGGGTCTATATATCTATACTCATAATAACATGCAATTTTACATTAAAAACAGTCCATATGAATTCGATTACAATCCTTTACATACATTACGTGCTCAAAAACTAATTGACATCTTAGTTTTACGAAAGCATAGTTTAAAAGTCATATATCGGCTTTTCTTCATCAATGAGAGCCCGAATGAGAGCCGTCCACCGGCGCATGTCCCGCACCTGAAATATTGTCCCCATAAAGGGTGAGCCACGCTCAATAGGGTATCTCCTACAGAGCCTACTTTCCAACTTAGATGCATATGAAATGTTCACATACAATTTACAAGCAACAATCACTCCATTCAAAAATATATAATTTAACAATGGAATCTTCAATGCCATGCCATGATGTGAGATGAGACTCACACATGCAATTCAACCCGAGCCTTTACCGCTCCCTCAATACATGCAATATCATGCATATGAATCTGGGCATTCTAAACTCCCGTCATTGATGTTACACATCCAATGATCTTTTTAAATTCCGGGTCTTTTTTGGAGTCGGTATTTATGGACTCATATCAACAGGCACCCCAACCGACATGGCATTAATGAACTTTTACCAATGGCTCCGTGTACGCTGACATACTTTATGGACTCAATATCAACAAAGTGCATATCCAAATCACTGGGTCTTGCATCCGAGGGAGAATTTAGTACTTCTTGCTAACCTCGACTCTATTTTCAATATAAAACTGTGTGATTTAACTGAACTCGGTCCAACTATCGCGAACCCACGTATCATTCACCAAGAGTGGTTTTTGATCAAATCATGTACACACACCCACAGTTATGTCAAACGCTCACGAATGTGATGCTATCCGTGCATATGTAATATAAATGAACAATTGTATTTCATGTTGTTAAGTTGAGAGAATTAACACAATATTAGAAGAAACGGAGAGTGGTCAAACTTAACTTACCTCTCATATATCACTTGTATTTATAGTTAACTTACAATAATAAGAAAGACAAATACACCCTTTTATATTTACACATAATACCCTAATACTCTTAACAGTCTACACATAATACCCTAATACTCTTAATACTCCCTCTCAAGATGGACTATATATATCTATATTACTTTTGAATGTCAACAAAAGTGAAAAACTTTTGTTTGACTAAAATAACTTTCACAAAATAGTTATTATCTATATCTTTTGGTGTTAATAGCATTATTAAATTAAATTATATGTAATGTATCTATATTATCTATATCTCTATCTCTACTATATCTCTATCTATATATTATATCTATATCTATATCTATATCTATCTATACTAATCTAAAATGTTTTTTTAATTTCAAAACTTAGTTGTCTTTTTTACCCCCTAATAATGCAATTTGGTAAATGGTCATTGAACTAATGTTATTGATGCTTGCTGCGTTTGCTTCCACAGCGCACCCCTTCATCTGTCTCTCTCTCTCTCTCTCTCTCTTTCATTCAATAGTAAAAGCTATCGGCTGAGTTCTCCACCTTTAGGGTAACGTTTGCTGGTGCATAACCTCTAACAAATATGTCTCCTTGCTTCTCTCTTTTAATAGTATGCAACTTATTGTTGTGCTTCTACAGATTCTAGGAATTAATGATTGAAGAAGTAATGACTTTCTTTCTCTCTCAAAAACACATTGACTTGCGGAACGAGTAGTGTCCTGCCTGCACAGGTACTGGTTTTTTCTCTTTTTTTTTTTGGTTATAAGATACATGTTATTTCATTTGTTTATGCTTGATGATTGAATATATAAATGAATTCAAAATTCTTAAGCCACCTTGTGGTGGCACCATTACTTCTCATTCTCTCTTGGCAGCAAAAAAACTGAAGAACTTGGTGCATGATTGTACATTTTCAACTCTATGCTTGTAGGGGTTGTGTATTGTCTCAATTGGAATCAGTAACTCTGTGACTCACTACATATACTCAGCGCTATTATGGTGTGTTAGGACTCTAATAATTTAGAATGTAGGCTGTAGCTAAGGGAGTATTTTTATGTCTGGAACCAATTAATATATACACTTTATAATTGTAATTTAGGAGGAAAATTCTATGAAATCTTTGATTCTCTATGTTGTTTTTAAAACTGTCTGTGAGTCGCATATCTATCATCTTGATTTACTTGCCCTTTGTCTCATCTGCTATCTGTCAGGGAGACTTTGTTAATTGAAAAAAGGATTATCTAAAGCATTTTGTTGTTTTGTTTTTAGATATGTGCTTTTGAAAGGAGCCTGCTTCATTGGATGTTATTGATGTTTTCTTTGAAGGTATGTAATACATTTGTTGGAAATCTTGAGTCGATTCACTGTTTTTTCTTTTTGTTCTTAGGCGTTTGTATTGTGATGTGTAATTAAGACATTCTCCAAATTTTATCTTATAGATGAGAATTCTTTGAGTTGTGTTTACTATGCATAAAACCTTGAAATATTCATGGGACTTGTTGCACTTCAGTTTCATCTGTAGAATATCTAGTGAAAGGTTCTCCAATGCTTTCACTTGTAGGGTGGAATTGTCACAAAGCTTAGTCACATGGATAATTCGTCATTAGATTTTGCAATATGATTGTTTGTTTGGGATCAAATAATTAACTATGATGAAATTTGAAAAATAAGAGTCCAAGAAATAAAGTTGTATATCCTATATAAAAAAAAAATACATTTATATAAACCATTTGGGTCGCAACATGGGTTTGTTCTCAGGTGGCTTTTGGAGAATGAAATGGTTGGTTGATTTTGGAATGAGATTTTGGATTGTTGGGCAAGTGATTTTGTGATTGAAATTGTTATCAATTGTTGGTTTTAGCGTTAAGTGGAGTCAAATTTATGGCTTATGAACTCAATTTACTAGGATATATTTGGACTGATATTGTTTTACTGGTGGTGTTGTTTGATCATTTATATTTGAGCTCACTCGAAGATAATTTTGTGATGATTAATAAAGTAGTAATCTATATTTGGTATTCTTTTTGGGAGAGTTGATATTTTTTTTTATCAATAAGAATTGATTTTGTCAAGGGATTATATATATATATATTTTTAAAGTTTTTTGTTACATCCATAGTGTGATTTGGTGTGGCAGAATACTTTGAGGGTAGGTACACAAGGCAAAGGCACTGTCGGGAATATGCTTCGAGTGGCAATATCCTTAAGGATGATGCATGTTCAAGACCACCTCCTCCATCGCCATCATTTCCAAGGACCCAAACATGGCTTGAGATTGTATGAAATCTTAGTATGTTATTGCTCAAAAGCAATTCATGGTGATAATAATTTGTGTTTTTCACTGAAATTTTGCCTTGTTGCAGTAGTGGCGCATTTCTTCTTCTTCATATTAAAGTCATCTTTTCTTCTAATAAATGTTAAGATGTCTTAAAGAATTTGGTCACACACATCTCAATCTACCATAATAAGGATGTGTCCTCTTTTGCGGTTAATTTGCGTTCTCATGAATTTATTTGAGTGTCATAAAGGCTAATACTTTGTAAATCTAAAGACCATGTTCTTTTTAGTTGAGATAAGAATTAGCATGTTTTGTGTGTATCCATTGCTATCAAAGAAATCAATAGAGTTAAAGCATTGAAATGTATGTGTAAAATACAAATAAATGGGAAAAATTCTTGCAAAATTCTAATTTTTTTTAAATAAATCAATCAATTGGAGTTGAGATAAAATGTAAAATAATCTTCAAAATCAGGTAAAACTTGATTTTGTGGTTGGAAAGTTGTTATTTTGTGATCATAGTAATAAAACTTGATTTTGTGGCAAGAAATTTGTTATTTTGTGATTATAGTAGTTGAGCCTGCAAGGTGTTTCTCAATTTTTTTCAACATAATATGTTTTTCTAATCTTTCGAGATTGGTAAATTTTATGGAATAGATAATTGTGATTGCAGACTCATATGCCATAAATATTATTTTGTGGAGATATATTAATTTAGACAATGCATTGAATTTATAGTTTACTTTTCTAAAAATGGGCTCTTGGCTATACTGAATGTCACTAACACATCTTCATTGTTGAATATATTGTCACCACATTGGCGTCAGACGAAAACTAACATGAATATGGTACCTAAATTTTCTGCAGCAGCCATAATTTGGCAGAATCTAAGGAAACTATAACAATTCTTGGTTGGGTGGAGGGTCCTAAAAAATGTAAACAAGAGAAAATTACCTCCTTTCTTTTAGGGGGTTTTGTTGGAAAACAACTAAGGAAGTAGCTTTCAATTATTTGCTGGGAAATAAAAATTTTCTTGTGTTCCCTTGTGCACAAACTCTTTTATGTTTTACATGCTCCATTTAATCTGCATATTTTTTATTTCTTTGATTACTTTGATTTTTTTTTAATGTTTTTACCAACTTTTTCTTATATTTAGATAAGAGGATTAAATAATGAAACATCAACCAACTCCTTTAGGAAAATAAAATAATTTCAAATGTCTTTCTCTATTTTTAGTGATCCATCATATTGAGGTAACCGTAACAGACGACTAGGAACAAGATACTCTTAAAATTTTCTTAAAATTTGACCATTACCCGCCCCATTGTACCTACAATGATATTGCTTGAGTAGGTTTCACAAGACTTGGAATAAAGGTTGGATTTCTTTAGTTTAATATTTTCAAAACAAAATCCTCCAACATATTAAGGCAAAGTAATGATATCAATGAAAAAGTGAAAACCACAATTTTAACTCAAAAATGGTCCACGTGCGACACACGTTTGTATCAACTAATATCATATAATCTAAGTTTGGAACAAATTGTTGTAAGACGTGTACGACTCCATGCTTTGGTAAACATATCTACAAGCTGATCTTTAGATTTCAGAGTCGTAATCTCCCCAGCTACTATCTTGTCTCGAATAAAGTGACAATCAACGTCACTATGTTTGGTTCTCTTGTGAAGCACTGGATTGACAGCCATATGGATAGTTGCCTGGTTGTCACAAAACAATTGTAAAGGCGGTTGAACTGGAAATTCAATTTCTTGGAGGAAATGTAGTAGCCAAGTCAACTCACTCGTCGTATGCGTCATTGCCCTATACTCAGTCTCAGCACTAGATCTGGTTACCACGAATTGTTTCTTATTTTTCTATGAGACGTTACCTCCTAAGAAAGTACAGTAACTAGTGGTTGATCTCTGATCAGAAAAAGAGTTAGCCCAATCAGCATCTGAGAAACTTTCCACTCTAAAATGTCTATTAGCTTGATATAACAGTCCAAGTCCCAGAGTACATTTGAGATATCGTAGAATACGAGTAACTATCTTCCAATGTGGTACTCTAGAATACCCCATGAACTGACTTACTATACTAATTATATAGGAAATATCCGGTCGAGTAATAGTGAGATAATTAAGCTTCCTAACTAATCTGCGATACTGACTCGGATTCTTAAACAGTGTATCATCATTCATCAATAATTTTTGATTCAGATCCATAGGAACATCAATCGGTCTGCACAACAAACCTGCTTCCTCTAGCATGTCAAGTACATATTTCCTCTGGGATAAACAAATATTCTGTTTAGATCGAGCCACCTCAATACTCAAGAAATACTTGAGTTTTTTCAAATTCTTAGTATGAAATCGATCCTATATGAAGATTTTTAACTTGGCAATCCCCTCAGAATCATTTTCAGTAATCATAATATCATCTACATAGACCACTAATAGAACATATTCAGCATCCGTCTATCTATGAAACACAGAATGGTTTGTCTGACATCGAAGAAAATCAAACTCTAAATGTGCATCTGAAAACTTACTAGACTATGCCCTCGGTGACTGCTTTAAACCATACAAAGATTTCTTTAACTGACATACACTTTTACCATACTTCCCCTGAGCAGTAAATCCAGGTGGCTACTCCATGTATACCTCTTCAACCAAGTCACCATGTAGGAAGATATTCTTGACATCTAACTTAAACAAGGGCCAATCAAGATTAGTAATCAAAGAAATCAAGATACGAACAGAGAAAATTTTGGCAACAGGAGAGAAAGTCTCTTCATAATCAACACCATAGGTCTAAGTAAAGCTCTTTATAACAAGTCGGGATTTGAGACACTCCACAAAACCAGAATGAAATTTAATAGTATACACCCAACGACAATCAACAGTTCGTTTACCAGGAGGTAAAAAAAATGAGATTCTAAGTCCCATTATGATGTAAGGTATCCATCTCCTCCTCCATAGCTTTCCTCAAACTTGGATCAGATAATGCATCTTATAAGTGCTTAAGAATAGATATAGTAGATAATTGAGAGGTAAAACAAGAGAAAATAGGAGACAAGGCATCATATAAAACAAAATGAGCAATAGAATGATTAGTAACACATGAACGAGCACCTTTTCGAAAGGTAATAGGTAAAAAGTCTAAATTACCTGATGTACCAGGATCAAAAGACGGCAAGGAAGACGGTACAGACACCCTAGTTGATGGGAGAGGACGACGAGAGTATACACAAAGAGGTAAAGTAGATGGTAACACAGTAGGTAGCGGAATGTCCAAAGATGAGGGAAGAGATGGTGGTACAAGAGACGAACCAAAGTTCAGATCCAAAGGTTGAGCCGGTGCCAAAAAATATAGAACAAATTTCTCAAACGTGACATTGGCACTAGTAAAGTATCGTTGCAGAGAAGGACTATAGCAACAATACCCCTTCTGTGTGCGGGAGTATCCAAGAAATACACATTTGGTAGATCGAGGGTCTATTTTATCAAACCCGGGGCCCAAATTGTGAATATAACAGACACATCTAAAAACCTTAGAAGTTGGGAAAAATAAAGTCTTACCAGTAAAAAAGACAGAATATGAACTTTGCTCATTTAACATAGAGGATGATATATGATTAATAAGATGACAAGCAGTAAGAATAACATTACTTCAAAAATATCGAGGAATGCTCATCTGGAATAACAGGGCACGAGTAACTTCTAATAAATGACGGTTCTTGCGTTCAGTAATACCATTCTATGGAGAGGTGTAAGCATAGAAAGTCTGATGAATAATGCCAGTTTTACTAAGATAAGTTGAAAAAGGATCAGATTTATATTCTCGAACATTATCAGAACGTAAAATACGTATACGACAACCATATTGAGTTTTTATTTTCTTGCGAAAAATCTCAAATATAGAGAATAATTCAGATCGAGCTTTCATCAGAAACAACCATGTCACACGAGAATAGTCATCTACAAATGACACAAAATAAGGATATTTATTAGATGAAATATTTTTTATTGGACCTCATACGTCAGAATGTACTAACTCGGACTAGACACACGTATTGACTCTAGACTGAAATGACACACGGTGATGCTTACTAAGTTGACAAGTTTCACAAGACAAAGACGACACATAACTAAGACTGAAAACTTAGCGTTTTAGATTCTAGAGAGAGGGATGTCCAAAACGACAATGTCATTGAAAAGGAGACAACGAGGTCTCTAGAGCCCGAGTAAGTGAATCAAAATTAAAATAATATAGGCCAAAGCGAACCGAAAGGACTAAGGTTCTTAACGCCTAGGCGAGAAGCGAACAGTTAAAAAAAAATTTAGTTTAATTACTTCTAAACATCTAAGTTCTAATTTTATATATATTAAATATTTAAATAAAAGTAAAATCATAAACATTTAAATTAAAACAAACACTAATAATATCTCAAATCTTAATAACAGTCATAACTTAAATATTTAAATTCAAACAAACAGAAAGGATTACAAAACTATTACACTACTGCTAATCAGCACTATCACACTACTAATAAAATTAGCACTACTACCAGTGAAATCATCAAGTTCAAATGCATTACAGAAAAATTAGAATTAGCGTAAATCAGCATTCATCGTTATGAAAAATTAGCATTTAGGATTATAAAAAATCATCTTTCATTATTACAGAAAATTAGCATTCAGCATTACAAAAAATCAGCATCAGGATTACAAAAAATCAGCATTCATCATTACAGAAAATCAGCACAACTATCAACAAAATAGTATTACAGAAAATCAGAATCATCAACTGTACAAAATTAGAAGCAGAAAAAAATAGTAGAAGCAAAAGCAAAAAAAAACAATAGAAGTAGAAGTAGAAGCAGAAAAAAAAACAAATGCAGAAGCAGAAAAAAATTGTAGAAGCAGAAGTAAAAAAAAAAATCTTAGCATAAGACAATCAGCAAAAACAGAAAAAAAACAGTAGAAGAAAAAAAACAGAATCAAAAGCGAGAAGAAGAATCAAAACCAGAAGAGAGAAGAAGAACCAGAGAAGAAGTAGAGAAACAGAAGAGAGAAAAGAAGCAGAAACAGAAAAGAAGAACCAGAAACTGTAGCGAGAAGAAGAAGAGAAGAAAAAGAGGAGACAAACCTGTGTGGACTAGCAAGGAAGGAGAAGAAGCAGTTGTCATCTTTGACTAGCGAGGAAGGAGCAGTAATAGCAGGCAGTCTTTGTTTGACCCTTTGAGCAAAATTAGGGTTTGGGTGTTGTATTTATGGGATAAGGGGTAATTGGGTGTATGGGCATCTTATAATTTTTTTTCGATGCCCAACTCAATGGTCCATAATAAAAATAAACAATTTAAGACAACCTCGTCTCGCATAACTAAGACGCTTGCTTTTTCCTCATTTCAGACATATTTGCTTTGCCTGGGTGCTTAAGGTGAGAGACCCTTGCTTCACTTCGCCTCTCGTCTAGGTGAACTTTTCAAAACACTAAGCAAGAGTAACACTACGTGTGGAAGTAACAAGACTAATAAGTAGAAAAAACATCAGACGCACCAGTCATGTGGTCAGAAGCGACAGAATCTATGATTCAGGGACTGCGAGTGGAGGACAATAAACAAGCGGAAGTAGTATTTGACTGGACAAAAGTAGTAGTGGACGGAGATGGAACAGCCTGCTGGGATAGGAATTGAGCATACTCCTCTCGTGTAATAGTAACCGACCCAGTGTCTAGTGGAGCTGACCGAGGTATGGAAGCAACAACAGAGGTGTCATCTTGATAGGAAGCCTGATTCGCAGCACTAGAAGGTTTTTCATGTAAATCCCAATAGAAATCAACAGTATGTCTTCCACGGCCACAGTGAGTACAGGAACGAGGTCTACTACGACCCCCACGACCACTCGTACGACCTCCTGTATGACTTCCTCAACCACGACGACCATCACGTCCACCTCGATGACCATCACTATGGCTACTAGGAACCATAAGAGCTGAGCGATTAGTGGAGACACCATGATCGATGCCTGAAGTAGACAAAGTAGCACGCTGTACACGAGAGAAAACTTCAATGAGTAAGGGAAGACTAGAACCACCCAAAATCTTTGAACAAATAGCCTCATATTCAGGTTTCAATCCTACTAAAAACCTAACAATATTCAGGTCCTCATGTTGTTTCTGTCAAATTGCTGCATTAGTAGTAAATGGATGGTAGGTTTTCATCTCCTCACAGACTCTCCGAACGTGAGAGTAATAATCCTCAATGCTCAAAGTATCCTACTCCAGCCGGAAGTACTCCTTGCACACCTTATAAGTTCGGGTAAAATTACTTATACTAGAATACATAGTGGGCAAGTGATCCCATATCTCTTTGGCAGTGTCAAGATAGAGCAGAGGAGAGCTAATACTAGGCTCAATACTATTCAACAATAAAGAGATAATTTGAACATCCTTTTGTTCTCACTGATCATACCTAGGAGTGTCTTCCTTGAGTTTAAGATTAATCAAATATCTTAAAATCTTTGCCTCGAAGAAAGATTTGAACGGAGCGGGACCATAAAGTGTAATTGGTCCCATTGAGTTTAACAGAAGTCATGAGACCATTAAGAAGAATCGGAGAAGTAGATGTAGGTGGTAAAGATCCAGCAAGGGTGTTAGCATCTTGCTTGGGTTCCATAACAGTGCAGCAAATAGCAAACAAGAGAGTCTTACTGGTTGATTGGGTTGCTGGATGACTGAACTAATCAAGAGGAGTGCACTGGACTGTTGAACCGAACTGGGAGAGTTCACTGGCCTGATGAACCGGACAAGAAAAGTCCGCTGGATTGCTGAACTAGACAAGGGAGGTCCACTGGACCGCTGAACCAGACAAGAGAGGTTCACTGGACCGCTGAACCAGAGAAAAAATAGATGAAACCGGTCTGAACCGGTGTAATCCTTATTGAACCGGGACTAAACCGATGCAAACCTTACTAAACCGAGATTGAACCAGACTTGGACCGGTCTGGTATGCACGCTACTGAATTTGGGCTTGGATTTGGATTTGAATCTGTCACCCAAACCTCCAATCGACCCAACTTGAGTGGGTCGTCTTCTTCACCAACAAACCCTAATTTTACTTCATTGTCAACGACGCTAAGGGAAGCCACCAATGTTGACCACACCAGTCGATGACGCTGATGTCTAGTAACTACCGTCACCACCAGACGAAGTCACTGATATCGATGACCAGCAACTGCAAACGTCAGCCACACCACCACGCAGCAGTCGACAGCGCCACACCACCACACCAGTCGATAGCACCTCACATCCAACACCAACCAGCGACTACCACCAGCACCAGACACCACACAACTGCGATTGAACAAGAAACCACCAACGTTGACAGCGCTGTCACACTCGACCATTAACTACCACCACCACTAGATGAGGAATTTTGACAGTAGGCACAACAGCGACAAACGGTGACAACTTGAGTTAATATTTGGATTTAGAATTGTTTTGCTCTGATACCATGTTAAGTTGAGAGAATTAACACAATATTAAAAAAAATAGAGTGGTCAAACTTAATCTACCTCTCATACATCACTTGTATTTATGGTTAATTTACAAGAATAAGAAAGACGAATACACCCTCTTATATTTACACATAATATCCTAATACTCTTAACACATGTCATTATGCAACTAAGATTTCAATTGCAATTACAATACTATGTTCAATATGTCTTGAGCACATTATGAATAATTCAATATCCAACAACTTTTTTCATAGTGAATTACATCATAAACATATAACTACCATAAATAACCTCAATGTCAATATATTATATACATATATTAATATTTTTCAACATCAAATTCCAAGCATGTTATAATATTATCAATACAAATAACGCACTTAATCTACATAGACATTTAATCAAACACCTTCAAGGTACTAAATCATGTAAATATATAATATGTCCAATTTCATCACATATCTCAAGAAATCACAACAAGTAATTTCTACATACCCAATTCATGTTAGAATTGATTTGAACCATTCTTAATACCCATTTTCGATGTTTCAAGTACCATGGGTAAGTACGAAACATGAGATTACATCTCTAACACCTTATCCTTTTCATATATATTCTAAGCATGTTATAACATAATGTAAATAACAAACTTAATCTAAATAGGCATTTTATCAAACACATTGAAAGCACAAAATTATGTAATACATATTATGCCCAAATAATCACATTTTTCAAGAAATCACAACAAGTAATTTCTATATACCCAATTCATGCTTAATACCCATTTTTCACATTTCAAGTACCATATGTAAGTGCTAAACATGGGATTACATCTGTAACACTCTACCCTTTTCATATATATTTCAAGTATGTTATAACATAATCAATGCAAATAACAAACTTAATCCAAATAGACATATTATCAAACACCTTCAAGGCACAAAATTATGTAACACATATTATGCTCAAATAATTGCATTTCTCAAGAAATCACAAGAAGTAATTTCTACATACTCAAATTCATGCTAGAATTGATTTTAATCATTCTTAATACTCATTTCCAACATTTTTTTTTGATCAGGCATTTCCAACATTTCAAGTACCTATATTTTTCATGAATTTATCAAACAAGTAAATTCTATAAACTCAATTCATTCAAGATTAGTTTAACATATTTCTATACTCATTTTCCACACTTTATTTACGGTAGGAGTACATTAAATACGAGAATTAATCTCAAGTCATGCTACTCATATCATATGGAACCCTAGGTTGAAAATAAACCTAATTAGGAAAAGAACCTTACCTCTTGAAGTGTAAAACAATGGTAGGAAGCTCCAAGAACCCGAAACAAGCTCTAATCTAAGTTTTTTTCTCAAAATCTTGTCCTTGGAATTTCTCTCCTATTTACACCCTTTAAATCCTTAATACTTATGGCTGCACACGTTCTCTATTTTCGAGTCCGATTTCATCCCAAAATAATTAAATTTCGTCCCGTTTCAAGTTCAAAATATTTTTATATGAACTTCCTTTAAATTATTTTTAAACTTTCAAAATTTTATTCCATATTTCGTTTTTAGGTCACGCGACATCCGATCGTCTTGTAAAATGCGAAAAATCTGACTGTCTCGGAATTCGACAAAAATTTACTGGGTAACTAAATTTCGCGAGATGAATCCAACAATGAGGTATGTTTCGTCATTCGAGTTCTAGAAAAATTTGGGTTTTTAACCCGTATTGTAGTGAAAAATTACCGTTTTGCCATTTTTCATAAAAATTCAAATTTACCCGATTTTACAGGTTTTGGACAGTCAGCTTTTGGAGGCCACCGAGGGGGAAGTAGAGTGGCTCCCTACACGCCAACACTTGAGTTAGATAGTGGCACAGGTACACAGCCTGGTGGAAAGCTGGAGTCAATAGCGGCTTTGCCTATTTATGAGGATAAAAGCCATGAAGAACTCAGATGGGAGGACTATCAATTGGGTGATAAAGGTGCTTTACTAAATGTGTGTGGAAATCTCGAACTCATATACACCTCATTGCCTGCCATGTTAATTATAATATTTTTAATCTGATTTCAGGAGGGCCAAGTCCTGCTGGTGCAATTGGATTTGGCGCTTCTAGCACACAGTCAAGTCCATTTGCTTTGTCGTCAACATTTGGTCAGATATCTGTGAATCCCTTTTCATCCTCAACATCTTCCAACCCTTTTGCTCCAAAAACCCCAGCCTTTGGCAGTTCCGGCTTGGATCCACATCTACTCCTGCATTTGGTTCTTCACCCTTTGGGTCAACTTCATCAGCAACACCCTCCATATTTGGTTCAACTCCTGCACTTGGAGCCAGTACCTCCCATCTCCTTTTGGATCATCAAGCTCATCTGCGTTTGGATCATCAACATCTGTTTTTGGTTCTTCATCAGCTCAGGGAACAACTCCATCATTTGGTTCTGGCTTAAGTTTTGGCAACACTCAGTCATCCCCACTGTTCCAGTCAAGTACACCTTCACTGGTACCGGCAACTCCTGCTTTTGGACAGACTACCTTCTCCTTTGGACAGAGTACTCCAGCTTTTGGGCAATCAAGTGTATTTAGTACACCTTCTACTGCATTTTGGGGGAATTTGTTTTCAAGCACTCCATCTCTGCTATCTACAAGCAACCCATTAGGATTTGGTCAAACAACCGTAAGTTAATTATACTTTTTTTGGTGCTGCCTTTTCAGCAAATTTTCAATTGAGAAAAGGCACAAAGTTGAATGGTAGGGTAGACCAAATATAGTTAGGACCAGGCCTTTTCTAGTTTAGTTGAGATTGATAAAATGCACAAGGTATGTCAGGAGAGACTTCAATTATGTTACATATGTTGCAATTGCTTATTAACAATATCAATCCTGTACTTGTTAGTGTTGGAAACTAGGAAGCTCTTGATACCAGGGGACCGGATCTAGCAAAGCAAAATGTTTGGTTATGTGGATTTGGTTGTATTTTCAACTATTATTGCAAGAAAAATGGTTTTGGTGACTCCAACCCTCTCTGTTTGACATGTGGCAGAATTGGTCTACCATTCTTGAGTGTTGATGCATTGGCATGTGGCAAAGACACTAGATGCCAGTGGATAAAAGCATATCCGACTCACTGGCTGCAATTAGAGGAAATAAACAGAGAATAAAATGTGGGAAGGAACTGTCTGGTTGCAATTGCGAAAATGGAGTTTATGTTAGTGGACCCACCATTGTACGGGTGACCCCTGTATTAGGAATTGAACCTGCAATGCATATATAGATAGTAAATGTAACATGGACCCCTACTATGTATGGCATTATGTTTTTGTGAATAGAGGCTGCACAAGCTCAATAAGTGATGGAAATTATATCATGAAGATCCATAGGTATCTCATTGTTGATCTTATCTCAAAAATTATCTTAGTTTAACAACTTGTCTAATCATTTTCAAGAATTTTCTTCTCTAGTGTCTGATAGGTTCTAAGTTCATTCATCATTTGTATCTGAAGCCCTCCATTTCAACACCCTTTCAAGTGTCTCAACCCTCTCAGAGTACAGGTGCTTTTGGCTTTAGCAACTTTGGTCAGATGCAATCAGGTAAGTGCATTTTATATAATCTTTCTTCATTTTCGATATACCTTTTGACATTTTATTTGTTATATTGTTAATTAAATTTCCCTTGTCTAACAGCTGGTACAAGCGGCCTTGGTGGCAAGCCAAGCATCTTTGGTCAGAATACTTTGGGACAATTGTATGTTTCAGTGTCAATATTTGTTCTATCAACGAACACTCTTGGTCATTCGGAAAAGGCTTTGACATATGTACGTAGTGCTGAAGATGTGCTGTATATCAGATAAAGAAGTTCTAATGTTCTGACAGGTCTGCCAGTCAGAGCTCTGCAGTTGTACAACCAGCCCCTGTTACGAATCCTTTTGGAACTCTACCAGTGATGCCTCAGATGTCAATTGGTCGCACAAGGATGTCACCTTCAATTCCATATGGAATTTCTAGTTTGCCTGTAAGAATGATATATAGCGCCATACCTAAACGAAATATTTTTGTACCTGTTCTGATCTATGTTTGGTTTATAATTGGATGTTGATATGACAATGATCTGCAGTAAAATTGTTTTCATTCCTGATATTTGTTTGTGGTGGCTTTTACTTTGCCTTAGCACTCAGTTTTCACGGACAACTTAGGGAGATGTTCTTTCTGCAATGTGCACGTGGTGACTGACATCATTTCCAAACAGGTGGTTGACAAACCTGCTCCTGTTACGATATCGTCATTGTTGACTGCTTGGCACCTTTCCCAAAGGCAGATTAGGTTGCCCATAAGGAAATATCAACCTAAAAATGATGGTCCAAAGGTAAAGATGGTTTTCTAGTGAAACTTAGTACCATAATTCAAACCTATAATAGTTTGGTCCCTAATGGGTTTTCTCTTGGGTATCAATCAATCAGGGCTAATATACAGGAGATTGATACTTATGATAATAAATGCATTAGTTGGTGCTTTTGTATGCAGGTACCTTTTTTTTAGCGATGATGAAGAGACACCCAGTGCACATAAGGCGGATGCTCTTTACGTTGCCAGGGAGAATCTAAGCGATTTGGTAATTCGCCCCTTGGAACAGTGGCCTTCTAGAGCAAATCCAGACAAAACATCACCTCCAAAGGATACATCCACTCCACCTCATGGGAATGGTAACTGTGTTCTTCTATTTTTGTACCTGGTATACTTGGGTATGTGGACTTTGGGTTAGAAACATTAGAGAAGATACTCGATTAATTGTAGGGGCCTAGGCCTGGGACAAGGAGTTATCCTGGTAGTAAGAAATTAGATATCTTGCAAGCTCATCTTTTCTGTAAAAGATTTGTTTGAAGGGGCACCTAGTGTTACTTGATCATGGTCAATAGCTTGATTATATAAGTTTCTTGGCCAACTAAATGAATGATTGGAGTCTTCATGGTGTTATCTTCACCTTATATTGCCGTATGGACTTTTTTGATTATAGTGAGAAATACTGGCATTTATGTTGGCGAATTGATTCATTATACTGGACCTGAAGCATATTATACAAATAAGATAGTCACTTCATAAATCGATTGTTTATTATTTTTCCATCTAAGATATAGGCTTCAATGTCAATTTGCTGAATCTTTTAACACTGTTCTTTATATGTAGGTAAAAGGTCTGAAGCAGCTTCTACCCCTAATTTGTATGGATCAAGTGCGGAGGATAAAGATAGTAAGTCTTGCTCTTAACGAGAAATTTGCTGTTATCAGTGTTCTCCTTAGCCTGTCTAGGTAATCTCTTCAATTACTAACATTCCTTAAAAATTTCATCTGCTGTTGGATTATTTGTAAGGTTATTACCCAAAAATTCTTTATTTTAAAAGTTAACAGTTCTTTTTTCCATTTCTTCTTCCTTTATTTTGGGAAGTGGGTTTTAAAGGGTGAATTTTTTCTGCGGTAAGTAGCTGTCAATTCAAATTACACTGAACATGCAGAGACTGACTTTTGGCTCAGTTGTCCCGCATCGGAATGGATTGAGATGTGCAAAGGTTAGGGTGGCAATATGTTAGCTTTGAATTGTGTGGCATTGAAATCCCAAGCAGGCTAGCATGGCCAAAATAGACCAGCTGATGCCTTGTATGCTTGTGTTGGATTGGTGGGTTCAGATTTTGGACTGTTGCGGCATAGGTTTTGCAGGGTGCTAACAATTACAAGTCAACTTAAGGGAGGTTGTGATGAAAATCTCTGGATTCAGCATACTATCTAAGACTTTGGTGTTCAATACCAATGTCCTTGTGGTCCAGCAGAGTCTTTTTGCTGCCATGGCTAACAACATATATCTACTTTTTGATTCTGGTAGTGTTTCAGTGGCTATGCATGTATTATTTAAATTATAGTAGCTGTGAAAATTGATCAGAAAAACAAAATATACGCTTTATAATGTTATTTGTTAAAAGATAACATGAGCAGGAAAATGTTCTTAGCTGATAAAGTAGCATGCTGTAAAATTATGGCTAATATTCCATTTGATTAAACTAAACTTTATTAAACTAAACTAGCAGCAAATTGAATTTACCTCAACTCTGACAGGTGCCACTCGTATGAAGTAGGTTGGCATTAATGTGCCTTATTTGACTTTTAATTGATCTGTTCTTGCAGATGGTCAGTTGAAAATGGCCTTGTCAAAGAAGGACTTCATCCTGTTAATCCAAAGCCAAAACCTATTGGACAACATGATGACAATTCTATCCGGAAAGTGGATTCGTACATTACTCTTACTGACCACCGTGCTGGTGAGGTGGCAATTGTTTATGAGCATGGGGCTGACATTGAGGCACTGATGCCCAAAACTCGCCACTATGACTATTATACCGAACCTAGAATCCAAGAACTGGTGGCGAAGGAAAGGGCACCGAACAAGGGTTTGCCGTCATGTGAAGGATTTTGTGGTTGGACGGCACGGTTGTGGTAGCATCAAGTTCATTGGGGAGACGGATGTAGGCGACTTGATCTTGAGTCTCTTATCCAGTTTAACAAACTGGGAGGTGATTGTGTATGTGGACGGGAACAAGAAGCCTCCTGTTGGGACAAGGTCTTAACAAGCCTGCTGAGGTGATGTGCTTCTCACATAAAATGTTTGATAAAAAGAAGGACATCACTATACAGGGGATTAAAGAATTGATAAGTACAAAGAGATGCTCAAAAGAAAT